TGCTGAGGCAGCCTGATTCAGGACCCGTGCTGATCACCCACATGGAGAAACAGCGTGTGATAAACATCATGTCCCCTAGATGCCCGAATCTGCCTCAAGAATAAGACACTATAGACCCAGAGCGGGCAGATCAGAACTAAGACAGAGGTCTGGGAAAAGCAGGGCTGCGGATGGCCGTGTTCTGCTTTTGCTGCCCGAATCTGCTCCCCGGCCCCCTCTGTGTGCAGAGCGCCTGCATCCTATGGAGGCCTGTGAGTGAGTGAAGAACTGTGGCTGTGCCTGTGGCTGCTCGGCCTCTAGGCCCCATGGATAAGCAGGAAACACATTTACGTGCCAGAATCTAAACACCTCTTTATCGGTAACAGAGCCGGACCCACACTGGTTTCTAAACAGGACTCTGTCCGGCTGCGTGTGAACCCAGATCTAAGGTGTGCTCTCCGCCGAGGAGGCTGCAAAGGCTGCTCCTCTCTTGAACGCACACAGCCTGGAGAGGTTTAAAGGGAAAAGGAGATAAAGAATAAAACAAAATAGCAACAAGCTCTGAAGCTGCTGCCGCGGCTGTCAAATCCTCTGTGTGGTGGAGATGTCAGAGCCCCTCTCCCTGCGCCCTGGGTTCAGATGGGCGAGCCGCTGACACCTGCTAGGTCGTCTGGCACCACGCGGCCACTTTCGACCTCCCGCCAGCTCCTGGAGGTGGGTGCGCTTGCAGATGGAGGCTTCAGCGTTAAAGTAACCCTGTTAGTGTATCAGAGGTACGCGTAGGCTTTTTGATGAGCGAGAACCCATAACATCCCTTCGCAAATGTGTTTCTAACTGTTCTGAGATCACGCTCTCAGCCTTGGCGATTCTAAAATAGGCCTCAGCAATTCCACTCGCCCAATGCAAAGACTGACCCAGGTTTCATGGAGACCGAACCCTCGCACATGGAGAAGCCGTGTCCTTTCAAAAGGAAGGTCACCCTGGTTGCAGGTCCTTGCTCTTGGGCACTTCAAATATTTCCTGCCACTCCCTTCTCTACCCAGCAAAGCTCATTTAGAATTGAAGGCCACAAAAAGAGCTTCACAAACAAGAAAAAGCTAAAAGAGTTCATCACCCCCATTGGGGGCGAAGTGGCTGGCCAACCTCCTGTGTCCCCTCCCCCTGACCCACCCTGCCTGATTGCCTGATCAGGGCCACCAGGACTCCACCCATGCACCAATTCGTGCACTGGGCCTCTAATTTATATAATATTCTTAAATAACAAAATTATGGGATGAGAGAAGAGATTGGTGATTGTCAAGAATTAGGAATAGTGGGGGATTAGGAGGTATCATAAGAGGGATTTTGTGGTGATTGAATACTTCTGTATCTTGATTATAGTACTAGGTCACACGAGTCTACTAGTACACATGATAAAACAGCATAGAGCTATACACACAAATTAAAACAATGTCAATTTCCTGGTTTTGATCAACCTGGTCTAGTCACATGATGTGGGGAGATGATTCCCTTATCAAGTCACATGAAAACCACAGAAGACAAAAAGCTATGGCCATTTTAGTCTTTCAGGATTGAAGAGTAGGATTTAGGGTGGGCACCAATCAACCCAGGGCTTAGGAAGTGGATGAAGCATACATGGCATCTCTCTGTATTACCTTTGCAATTGCCTATGAATCTATAATTATTTCAAAATAAAAAATCTTAATTAGTGAAATGAGACTCACCATAGTTTAACACTATTTTTTGAACTTGTTTAAACTTTGCCACCATTTCAAAAGAGAGACTGTCGATACAGTTGATATCTAAAACATAAGCCACACAGTGAATCCTGTCCTTCAGTGATGGAGAGATGATGAAGGTAGGATGGCTGGATGTAATTGGTTGCTGGGGTCTAAACTGTTAGAGGAACATAAGGTAACATTTAGAGAGTCTCTGCTGAATTCTTTAAGACAAACTTCATGTTTCAAATGTGACCACCATTAACCTCCAACCCATAATTTTCCCTCCCTGCAGCTCCTCTTCCCCCAGATTTATTAATATTGCCCCTTCCGTATTTTCTTTCCAGTGAGAGTATAATGCATTATATCTTTGTTATAAAAAAAAAAACCCACTTTGTTATTTTGGTGAATAATTATCCATAATTCACATTATCCAGAAAAACTACCATTATCAATGTTACACACCATTTAAGACTCCTCTCTAAGCATTTTACATACTTACTAATGAATAGAGAGAAAAGGAGAAAATACACTGCAAATCCCATTAAAAGTAAAATACTATAATTTCTTTTTATTTTCCAGAAGAAAAAAAACTATAGTAAAACAGAAGAAATACCAAATTTCAAATTCATGTTAATATTGCCTTACCACAAGACAATAATCTTTCTAGGATTAGGAAAATAGATGACAAAACATAGTAAAAGATTGATTCATTATGTTTTAAATTGATCTTTATTGCTGGAAGTATTAAAGATGTCTCCCTTTTCCCCTCCATTGGCCCCTACTATCCCTCTACACATAGTTTTAACTATATGTTTCATTGTTGGACTGAAATGGTTCATATTTTTCCCCTGTAAAAAATGAAGGTATTAGTACGCTTATGATTTTTTTTTCTGCTCTGTTCTTCCTCCCAGTGTCTTTATGTCTTCTTAAATTGTGAGCTCCATGAAGATAAGAATTATGTTCTTATTCAAGTGTATGTTTCTAATAACTAGCATAGTGTCTGACACAACTTAGGTTTAAAATAAATAGTTTTTAAAATAGTGTGTCCCAAATATATACATACATGCATTAACAGCTGATACCTCAATTTGGAAAATGAAATGTATTTTAATAAACACTGCCTTTATAATTATTCAAAGTGTTTGCATAGATTTTTTGCGATACCCTGTATGAGTACTTGGCTACAGTTTTCAATCAAAAACAACTGAGAGGCAAAAGAAATCACTGTTTAGAAATTGAGGCTAACTGTATTAACCCAGTACCTAAAAGAAAGATGATAACGATGGTTAACTTTTTGAGAATTTGGAGTACATCATCTCATTTATCTTTTCAGCCACCCTATGAGACGGGAATTATTATTACCTATAATACATTTCAGACCTAGGTTTTTAAGTAGTATTTAAATAATGAATACTAAGTATTTACAGTATAACATCATGCTTCAACCAAAAAAAAGTTAGTTGTTCCAATGTTTTGTCTAAGTGATCAAAAAAATGTGAGATTAAACTACTGCTTTACTATAACTATACATCATAATAAAGAGTGATATACTAGTAAACACAATCTCCTCCTGATCTTTTACTGGAAGTAGAACCCTGCCTTTTGGATATATTTCTGAATACTATAGAAAAGAAGAGCAGTAACTCTACTTATGTGAATACTTACTCATATAAAGTACAGTAGTGTTGTCTAATGTAGAAATCACCTTATGATAGTTAAAAATTCCTTATGGAGTAAAAATTCAACAAAAAGCATAATAAAATTATTTTGAAATGTTTTAGAGGACTAAAAAGTTCTTACGTGATATCTGTCTGGCACACAGCCTTTTAAGATGTGGGGTATATCATCCATACACAGTCCTACTCCCTCTTTCTCATCCAGCCCCATGGTGTCACACAACGTAAATGGCAGAGATTTTCCATCTTTTTCATCTTGAATAGAATACATCCTATACTGCAAAAAAAGGGGGAGGTGTAAAATTGCATTCTTCAACCAGCATTCATGACAGTAGAAAGACCAGAGACTGGTTAATATTTGAACACTGCTACCCTCCAACATTTTGGTCTCAGAATCACCTTAGACTCTTAAAAATTATTGAGAATTCCACAGATATTTTATACGAGTTACATTTATTAATACTTGACATAAATTAAAACTGAAAGAATTTTAAATATTCCTTAAATCATTTAAAAATGTAATTATGAACCTATTACATGTTAACCTAACCAAGATTTCTATGAAAAAATAAAATTACTTTCCAAAAATATTATTAAAAAGTGTGGGATTGATTTACTTTTTTGCAAATCTTTTTAGTGTTTGGATTAATAAAAGATAGTTGGATTCTCATATCTATCTCTGCATTCAATCTGTTGTAATATATTGTTTTGGTTGAAGGATATAAAGAAAATCGGGCATCATACACATGTAGTTGGAAAGGGAAGAAGCATTTAATTTAACATTTTTCAGAAAATTTTGTATATTTCTCATTAATATACATGAAAATTCAACAAGTGGTAAGTTCTCAAAAATAAGCTGCAATATGGAATTTGTGACATTTTCATACTCTGTTACATTAAATTCACTGATCTATCTTACACTTTGAAATAGATTTTACCCACAAATAATTTTGTAACCTTATGCACTGGTCATTTAAAATATCAGTTCACTGGCTGGTTTACCTAGATTTTCCAAATATTAAACACATTTATCCTATATAATAAAGAGTAATATGCAAATTGACCATCCCTCCAACACACAAGATTGCCGCCCCTATGTGGACACAAGATGGCCAGCAGGGGAGGGAAGTTGTGAGTGACCAGGCCTGCAGGGGAGGGCAGTTGGGGGAGACCAGGCCTGCAGGGGAGGGCAGTTGGGGGCAATCGGGCAGGCAGGGGAGCAGTTAGATGTCAATCAGGCTGTCAGGGGAGTGGTTAGGGGGTGATCAGGCTGGCAGGCAGACTCATTTAGGGGTGATCAGGCTGTCAGGCAAGTGAGTGGTTGGGAGCCAGCAGTCCTGGACTGTGAAAGGGATGTTCGACCACTTGTTTAGGTGAGTTTGAAGAGCATGTGTTTATAGAGAAAGGGAAATAGCAATATTAAAATATCTCTGCTAATTAATTCCCTTTTAATGTGCACGAATTTTGTGCACTGGGCTACTAGTCTATAATAATAAAAGTGTAATATACAAATCTATCAAAGGGCTGAACAGCGAAAAGACCATCTCAATGACCATGCTATGACACCCACTGGCACCATGCCAGCAAAGGCAGGTGCGATGTGATTGGTCGGGGGCCCAGCCATTGCCCCATGATATGATCGCCCCAAAGAGGGAGGGCCAGGCCAGAGACCCGCAGGCTGCAGTGGGTGGGCAGGGCCTCCCTCTAAGGTTGCCATCAAGATCATGGGGCTCCCAGACTATGAGAGACCGCAGGCCGGGCTGAGGGACCCACGCCCCCAAGTGCACAAATTTTATCCACCAGGCCTTTAGTATAAAATAAAGCCACTCACATGAATAGAATCTAGACAACTTCAACAAACAAAATGTGATTCTTGAAAATCCTAGAAAATGCTTTCAGTTATTGAATATGGCACTAAAATGGGCCATTATATTTTTATGATAAATTTTGCACTGGCAGTGCACAGCATATAACCTATAACCTATCAGAAGATAACAATATTAGGTTGTAGTGATGATATATAAACACAGCTTGTTTATGAAATTTCTTATTTATTATTTTTTATTATTCTTTGATTGTATGATATCACTTTGACAAACATAAAATGGGAGTTTCTAGGTAAATATTGCATCATAATTTGCAGATCTTTAGAGTAACAGTTTTTAAACAGTATTAGTATTTATTTCCTTAAACATATTTGTTTAGAAATACGATGGTGTTTGTAGGAAAATTATAGACTTACTCTCTGAAGGTTGACCCATTAAAGGGAATTGCTATTTTGTTGCTCATTATTATTTCTTATAAAATGATCTTATGTGAAGGGAACTTCTGTATTACATAATTCTCATTTCTTTTTTTTATAAAAAGAGAAAATCATTTCAATCCAGATAAAGCCATGTGGGACATGAGCAAAAATATACATTAAATATAATGATTGAAGATTTACACAAAGTTTTTACAGTTTTGTTGCTGTTTTGTACAAGTCCCAAAATCATTCTTCATATAACTACTTCTTGCATCCATAAAAATGGAAAGCCTTGCTGTATAATATAACTTCATGGAGGTAGTTCTCATTCAACTTTTACTCATTTTTACAGTTGATTTAGCATTTAATTGTTTGTAGATTAAAAGGAGGTTATTGGTCTGAGAGAAAATGGCAAAAAAATCAATAAACCTAATAATTGTAATTTATAAAAATTCTCAGGAAATTCAAAGATAACTTACCAGTTCAGTAATGCTAGTGACATCAGACCCCACTGCAGCTTGGCGAGTCACATGGCCTCGGAAAACAGACTTCACTGAATTGAAAAAACTGGACTTTCCAGACCCAACTGGACCCAGCAAGAGAATATTAACTTCTGAAACCAAATCTGTGCAGGGTGTGTAGGCTCTGAGCTCTGATAGGAGCTTATTTCTGAACCTGTTAAAATATGGTAGTTAAATACAACAGCCAAACTTCCATGAAGAACAGCACAATTCTTCCAGAGCTTCTTGACTCCAATTTTTAAAAATGTTTTAATTACTTAGTTATTATCTTTATGTTAACATCTTCTATAATATGATTTGAATGGTCTAGGTCAGTGATGGCGAACCTTTTGAGCTCGGCGTGTCAGCATTTTGAAAAACCCTAACGTAACTGGTGCTGTGTCACATATAGAAATTTTTTGATATTTGCAACCATAGTAAAACAAAGATTTATATTTTTGATATTTATTTTATATATTTAAATGCCATTTAACAAAGAAAACCCAACCAAAAAATGAGTTCGCGTGTCACCTCTGACACGCGTGTCATAGGTTTGCCATCACTGGACTAGGTTATGTACTTTGTGCTTGAAGAAAATGCATTTGTCTATATCTGACTAAAGTTAAACATTGACCAGCAACCAAATCATTGTCAAACTATTAGCTTTAGACCACATATATCTATAAGAAATATCAACAACAGTGAAAATGCATTATTATTTTCAGTAGTAATATTATATTTAAAAGAAATAAAAATAAAATATATGCAATGCAGAGAAATTTACCTATAATTGGGGAAAGATGGCTTGGTTTTGAAAATTTGCTGACATTCTCCAAAAACTTTAGTCATATAGAAAAACTTCAGAGACATTGTCTAAAATAGTCATCTAGACTTTGTCTAGAAAACTTTGAATATTACAGGTCGAAAGTAAAACCTGAAGTTAAATTGTCATCAAGTGGATTTTTAAAGTGGCCTACAATTGGTCATGTTTTATTTTTGTTGTTATTGTTCTAAACTACTTTGAACATATTATGTCAATAACATCATAATTCATTTTTATCACTCCAAGTGATTTTTATTTTGATATTTCTTTAATGATGCCATATGTACAATTATTCTAAACTAGAGGCCCAGTGCATGAAAATTCATGCACTGGAGGGGGGGGGCGGTCCCTCAGTCTGGCATGTCCCTTCTCACAGTCCAGGAGCCCTCAGGGGCAGGAGGTGACCTGGCAATCAGCAGAAGGCGACACCCATCACAGCTCTGCTGCTGCCACTGCCGGCAGTGCAAACCTCAGCTGGCCCTAGTTACCTAAGCCTCGGGCTGGCCCTGGGCAGCTGGACAGCCACCATCCGAGGCTTGCCTGCACCTCGGACTGGCCCTGGGCAACTGGGCAGCTACCATCCAAGGCTTGCCTGCACCTTGGGCCAGCCCTGGGCAGCTGGGGGGCTGAGGGGACTGGGGGACTCTGGAGGCAGGGGCAGCAATGCTGGGCCCATGGGCCTTGCCGCATGCCTGCTGCCCCAATGGGGCTGAGGGGACTGGGCACTGCCATCTTGTGGCTGTGGGTGCCACTATCCTTGAGGGTGGGGCAGTCAATTAGCATATTCCCTCCTTATTGGCTGTAGGTGCTGCCATCTTTGCAATGGCGCGAGTGTCAATTAGCATATTTCCTCTTTATTAGATAGGATGAAATGAGTAATTAGTCCAACTTACTGTGCAACTCCTGTTATCCTCCTTATGTAGCCTTTACTATTCTTAATTCCTATAGGAAATAAAACAGCATCATAATTTTTTAAACTTCTTCAGTTCTCTTTTTAAAGTCTTATTAAATGTGGTCAACCTGATAAATAAGGCATTAAGTGTGCTTGCCTAACCCAGGGTTGAGCTGTTCAATGAGGAATTAGTGTTGGCAACATAATAAGAAGAGGAAAGAGTACCTTCCCAATGTGGCAGGATAGTAAGAAGCTGGGAAAATTCCTGGGCAAGCAGAATGGGGAAACCGAGACAAGATAATTAAACAGGGCCAAACAATTTGAACAACTTACAGCCAGTTAATGAATCACAAGATTTTATCTTCCCTAACCAACGACACTTGAGAGCAAATGGTTTATAACTCTTCTCCCTAACCAGAGGATACATAGTTTAAATCACCCTGGTCAGGGAAATAGAGAACAGAGACCAAGTTAATGCCATTTGTGCCAGCTAAACCCAAGGACAGATGAAGTCAGGGGAATGAATAGCAAAAACCCGATTAAAGCCACATATACCCAAGATAAAATTAAAACAGTAAAGCAGGCCAAAGAAAAATCTCAAATACCCCCGTACGCTCATTTTGATCTATCAGCATATTTAAAACATAACTGGAAAGCTAATGAATATTCTGCTGAAACTCTCCCCTAAGATTCTCATCCAGAGAAGAGAGATACAAACTCTCAAGACAAAGACCCAGTGTGGGGCATGGACTTTTTATTTCCTCCTAAACTCCAAGGGTTCCTATGAGGTTTAAAACCAGGGATGCAGCAGGTAGTGATAGCTCTTCCCAGATTTACTCCCCACTCCTTTCCTCAATCCTGTCTCCAAGGCCCTCTTTTTCTTTGACCTTCCAGTGAACTGAAAGCATCTCTACCTTGGCTCACTTCTATCACTGTGGCCTTCACTTTCCAGTGAGCTAGCAGCAGTCCCACCTTGGCTCACTTCTTCCCTATAACCTTTCTAGAGAGCCAAAGCAGAGCACCACCTAAGCTCTCCCTATTGCTTCTTCCACCCTAAGTCCTTCGTTTCATTGTCCCCGGCTTTAGTAAAAACATACTCTCCAAATCACCTGCACTCATGCTGTGAAATCTTTTCTACACAAAGTCAAGAACCCACACACTACAGGCCAGCCAGGGGCAGACCCACTCCATGCCAGTCCCATCTGGTGGCATCAACACATTAACTCACTCTGGAAACATACACATAAACATGCCTACAAATTTTCAGACTAACCAAAAACCAAAATAGACCTGCTATGATAGTAATGCCATTTGTGCCATCTCTCTCTCTCTCTCTTTCTCTCTCTCTCTCTCTCTCTCTCTTTCTCTCACCCCCTGACCCTGATCTCCATTTCTGTCTCTTCACTTACATTTACCAATTTACTTTGCTCAACTGCCTATACTTTCCAGTCTCCTAGGTTTTATTTGGAGTTTCTGAAAGAGAAAATTGATGGCATGAAATCTGTTTGTTCCTTTCACATTTCCTTCTGCTTATAGATCAGCGAGAGGCCTGGTGCATGAAATTCTTGCACAGGTAGGGTCCCTAGGCCTGGCCAGAGATCAGGGCTGATTGGCTACTGGTCGGGGCCTTACTTCATTCTACACCATCCCCTGGTGGTCAACACACATCATAGCAAGCGATCATTCGAACTCCTGTGGGGACAATTTGCATATTAGGCTTTTATAGAGAGAGATTATAACCTACCAAACACAAAGACTGGAATGAAAATGTAGGAGAATCTAACATACCTTCAACTCGAAAAACTTCACATTCCAAATAACCCATGGTTTTGAGATATTTTATTCCTCCTGGAACCTTTAACGATGGATGAATAAAAACTTGGGAGTTGTGTGGAATTAAGGAGAGAATGATATTATTAGAGGAATAAAATTCCAGTTTTTCAGAAACAATTTCTGGTTTCACATTTAAAAATTTAGTTGTTTCAGTTTTAAGTGAAAAATAAAAAGAATTTTGATGTCTACAATATTCACCCTTTTGAGGATAATTCCCAAGTAAAAATACCCCAACAATAGAGGTGGGAAAGTAAATCACTGTTATAGTGGGTCCTTGATGAGCGCACTTATCAAGCATCTCTCCAATGGAACATTCATGAACACTAGACTTATAAAGAAGACTCAAGGAAACATTTCCGAGCAGCTTTTGCAGAGTCTTTTCCTCATTCCATGTCAATCTGGTTGTCACTGCCATTGTTCTGTATCTAATGGAAAAAAACAATAATAGGTTAAGAGGAAAGTATAGCATAGTGGTTCAAAGTAGAGATCTCTGCTTCTAGTTCCAGTAGTTATTTTTTCTCTGACCTAATTAAAATATGTTATTTGAAATATAAGGCAATAGAAATGGTACAATAGGTAGATATTAAAAATAGGTAATTTGGATATAAAAATATAAAGTTTTTTAAACCACTAGGCAAAATAAAATACATAGTGAGCAAAGAATTTAAAAATTATAAATCAGAAAACCTTTTCTTAATGATAATTAGTAAATATTTTGGGCTTTGTGGCCATATGGTCTCTGCCACAGTTACACAACTTTGTCAATGCAAAAGCTGCCAGAGACAATATGTAAACAAATAAGCATGACTGTATTCCAATAAAACTTTCTTTACAAAAACAAGTGGCTGACACACAGGCCACAGTTTCCTAGATCATGAATTAGAAGATAGAAATGAGGAATTCATACAGAAAAGACCTCACAAAGAAAGAAATTGAAATATGAAAAGTGTTAACAGTAATGGAGTTCCTAGAGTGGCAAAATGTAACAATAGCCATTGTGCCAATTCTTGCAATGAGAAAAATTAGAAATGCAAGATAAACTGTAAAATACATAGATCTGAAAGCATTGGAGAACTAACAAAGCAGTAAAGATTTTTCGTTTTTTCTTTTTCCAAAGATTGCAAAAAGAAGTGAATATAGAGAACTAAGCTTGGCATGTGGGAGCACATTTTCCTGAGGTACATTTATCTACCATAGAAGAGGTACCTAAGTTGCTGAGAAATTAGCCAAAGTGTTCACTAAACTCATTAAGCTAAGGTAATATGGCACAGCAAGGAAATGCTTGGCATAGCTCCCTCCAGGCTATGTGTTAGGATTCTGAAGAACAAGGAATAAGTGAGGATGGGTGGACTGGAAGCAGACAGATTTAATCCCATTTGCTAATAATCTCAATCTATGACAGGGTTAAGATAAAGGAGAGTGCTAGTGCCTATAGATAGATGCATGCTGCATGCAAAATAAATCTTGTGTAAATAAAGAGAACATTGTTTTAGCTTCAAATTATCTCTGCAATCTTTTTTTAAAAAAATACCAAATGCCGCATACTGATCATAAACACAAGGACAAAACAAAACAAAGAACAAGAAAGCCAAGAAAAAACAAAAACAAGAAAAAGAAAACAAACCCAACTGATATTGGAGTTACCCACATAGATTTTTAAATAAATATGCTTGGCTTATTCAAATAATTAAAACATAAGATTTAATGCTTGACAGCACAATGGAAAAAATTAAGAAGACAAAAAGAAATTCTGGATTTAAAAATCTATAAATCTGAAATCAAAAACTTGAAGAATACATTTAACATCAAGTTATACAGATTATAAGGAAGAATTAGTCAGAAGAAAATACATCAAATGGAAGCAATGAAACAAAATACAAATCGGATACAACTATATGGACATTTTATTACAGTTAATTTTCTCTCTACAGTACCCAGTGCATAAAATTTTCATTGAAAAGCAAAACATATGAACAACAGAAGTACGATCATTAACACCAATTTCATTCAGAAACTCTTTATCTAAGAAAAAAAAAAAGGCCATTTTATTCACACAAGAAGAAAACATTGGATGGCAGGAAGTCACTGACCTGTTTTTAGAAGCTGGATCAGGCCTAAATGGAGTATGAGCTGCTCCGTCTGGCTTGTGCAGCAGCCACACTCTGGAGACAGAAAGTTCTGCTGAGATCCTTGGCTTCCTGGTCTGAAAGAGAGGAAACTGAAAGTCAAAGCGTCATTCAGCTGGCAGCATGCCAGGTGCCATTAAGTTTCTTTTTCCCAACCAGAAAAAGACAGAAAACAAAACAAAACAGAAAAGAATAAGATTCCCACTAGCACATGAAAATGATCTTTGATTCCCTATGTCCCCACATATAGGCTTTCATGAAATGGCAAATATTAATTTTAAAAATTCCAATAAAGCTAATAACTAACAATAGATTACATGAAGCAAAGGACTAAATCTGCTATTTGGAAGATATGGTAGTAGAAAACACCCAATCAGAAACACAAAGAGAAAAAAATCAATAAAAATGAGGATAATTTAAAGGACCTCTGGGAAAACAGCAAGTGAAGCAACATTTGTATCATAAGTTACCAGAAGCAGAAGACAGAGCATGAAATTAAAGTCCTATTTGAAGAAATAATGACAAAAAAAACTTCCTTAATCTGGTCAAGGAATTAGACATATAAGCAGAGGAAGTACAGCATCTCAAATGAGATGAACTCAGCAATGCCTATATCAAGATACATCATAATTAAAAGGTCAAAGGTTACAAAGGGAGAATCTTAAAAACAGCAAGAAAAAAAGCAGTTAGTTACCTACTCAGGAGCTCCCATAAGACTGTCAGCTGATTTCTCAACGGAAACTTTGCAGGCTAGAAGGAACTGGCACAAAATATTCAAAGTGATGAAAAGTAAAGGCCTACTAACAAGGTTACTCAGCAAAGCTATCGTTGAGAATTAAAGGACAGATAAAGAACTTCACAGAGTAGAAACAGATAAAGGTGTTTTACAAACCAGTATTACAAGAAATGGCAAAGGGTCTTTTTTAAGAAGAGAAAAAAAGATAACAAATAGGAACAATAAAATGGCAATAAATACATAGTTATCAGCAATAACTTTAAATGCAAATGGATTAAACGCTCCAAAAGACATAAGATGGCTGAATGCATAACAAAATAAGACCCATATATGCTGCCTACAAAAGAATTGGAATGCAAACTGGTAAAGCATTTTTGAAGGGGAATTGAACAATATATAAGAAAAGTATGCATGCCCTTCTCTTTTGGCCAATAATCCCACTTCTAATAATCTATCTTGGAAATACAATGCAAAAAATACATATACACAAGGTTATTCATTGGATCATTGTTTATCATTGAAACATATTGGAAGCAGCCTAAATGCCCACACATAAGAGATCAGTTGAAGAAGTGTCACTTCTCAAAGTATACCCTTTTGTATGGCTGTTACCCTTAGAACTATACTAATGCTTCACACACTAAAATGAACAAACAAATAAATAAATAAACAAATCATTAAATCAATGAAGATGTAGGGGGAGATCGAAATACAATAGAGTAGTTCCACTCTTTATATGCAGTTTTTCTTTCCACTATTCACTTCTCAAAATATACCCTTTTGTATGGCTGTTACTCTTAGAACTATATTAATGCTTCACACACTAAAATAAACAAACAAATAAATAAACCATTAAAATCAATGAAGGTGTAGGGGGAAATCGAAATACAATAGAGTAGTTCCACTCTTTATCTGCAGTTTTTCTTTCCACTGCTTCAGTTACCTGGAGTCAACCATAGTCTAAAAATATTAAATAGAAGATTCTAGAAAGGAAAAAAATTCCAATTTTCATTGCATGCCTTTTTGAGTACCTCACCTCATCTCATTATGTATCCATTGTATCATTTCACATCATAATAAGAAGGGTGAGTATTTGATGATAAGATACTTTGAAGGAGATAGAGGAGGGGGGTGGAGAGAGAGAAAGACCACATTCATAAGACATTTATTTTAGTATAGTATTATGATGATTCTATTTTATTATTAGTTATTGTTGTTAGTCTCTCACTGT